CAGAATCTCATTTTGCCACTCGTCATCAAAAGCATGAGCATCACTTTCATTCATATTGATGAACTCTTGATTGACCTCTTCATCTCCAGTCTTGCTGTTCTTTGACTTTTTTTTTTTTGCGGGTACACTGGCCTCTCACTGTTGTGGCCTCTCCCGTTACAGAGCACAGGCTCCGGATGCGCAGGCTCAGTGGCCATGGCTCACGAGCCCAGCTGCTCCATGGCATGTGGGATCTTCCCGGACCGGGGCACGAACCCGTGTCCCCTGCATCAGTAGGCGGACTCTCAACCACTGCGTCACCAGGGAAGCCCTGTTCTTTGACTTTTTAATGACATGAGTTCGGTCATGAAGGTGACGACCAACAGCCATTTTTTCTAGTCCACTCTCAAGAATCTCTCAGTGCCCTCCTACTTTCTTTTATTCCTCCTGGAGCCCTGCGAGTTTCAGTTGAGGTCTGGAAAATCTTTGGTTGTTCATCTCCTACTTTGGAATAAGTCATAACTGAGGAAGAACTAAACAAATGTCCATTTGGATCCACTGAAAAGTGACCAAAGTTTCTTTGTAACTCCTGCATACTGTTTCGTATATTTAACATTATTTGGTCCATTGACTGAAGAGGGTTGACATCTGTACAAGTCAAGGAGTTTTCTCCATCCTCATGTCCCGTACGGTTACAAGCTCTTCCTCTACCATCAGAGATGCTGAAGATGTCTCTTCCAAAAGGTTCAGAAAAATTTCTCATCATCTGTCACATACTTTCTCAGTGTGCCATAAAAGAATCAGAGAAGAAGGGATCATCCTCAAAGCTGCTGCTCAGCATCCTGAACATCCTGGCTCTGTTTCAGGTGGCGACATTCACGGACAGACTGGAAAACGATGCAACTTGCCGCGGCCGCAGCCTGAGCCAGCCTGTTCAATAATGGCCATTTATGACAAACTCACAGCTAACATCATACCCAATGGTGAAAAGCTGAAAGCTTTTCCTCTAAGATCAAGAATAAGACAAGGATGCTACTCTCACCAGTTTTGTTCAACATAGTATTGGAAGTCCTAGTGCCAGCAATTAGACGAGATAAATAAATAAAAGATATCCAAATTGGAAGGGAAGAAGTAAAACTGTCACTATTTGCAGATAACATAATACTATATGTAGAAAACACTAAAGACTTCACAAAAAATTACTATAACTAATAAATAAATTCAGTACGGTTTCAGGATACAACAAATTTAATATACAGAACTCTGTTGCATTTCTATACATTAATTATGAACTATCAGAAAGAGAAATCAAGTAAACGATCCTACTTACAACTGCATTAAACAGAATAAATACCTAGGAATAAATTTAACCAAGGAGATAAAAGATTTGTACTCTGAGAACTCTAAGACGTTGATGAAAGAAATGGAAGATGACACAAATAAATGGAAAGATATACTTTTTTTGTGGACTAGAATAATTAATATTGTTAAAATGCCCATACTATCTAAAGCAATCTACAGATTCGATACAATCCCTATCAAAATAATCATGGCATTTTTCACAGAACTAAAACAAATAATCTAAAAATGTGAAAAGGGGATGATATCAGAATAAAATGAATACACTTAACTTTGGGGGAAAAATCACTCCTCTGTTTTATTTTGCTTCATTTTTCTCATGTTACTATAGACATGTGCTAAATTTTAAAGACTGGCCCTTTACCTATATATTTATCTCTAAATCTACTGCACAGTAGTTTATGAAAGAAAATACTGAATTAGCAAAACTTTGTTTTCTTTCAGCTCTAACATTCAATAATTCTGTAAAGCATCTATACTCAGCTAACTTTAAATGATACTATATTAAAAATATGTGCTCTATCTAGTTAATCTTGCCTTGATCTTACGTTTGGTATTACTATCTGGCTTTTCCTCTCTTCTTCCTGATTTCTCTGTCAGTGAGGGCTCCACCATCTTAATTTTGTAAGAGAAACCATTTAATCTCACACTTTGCATTTCTGGATTGAGGGCATTCTTAATTAACATTATTATTTTTTACCCTGAACTGAAAGCATTTTCCTCATCAACCTTTCTCAACTAATGCTGCCAGGAAAGAAAATAAAGGCATAATGTCTTATTATTTATCTGTCACTCCTTCTATGGTCACAAATTCTATTTGGAAAAAAAAAAAAATGCTGCAAAGTGCCCCTACTCATAGAAGGCCCGGCCCAAGTCCTGTGTCTATTTTAATTCAGGTTTTGTAAGTCCCACCACCCTGTAAGAGTACTTGTACAAAATGGCACGGTTAGATCTTTGTCATGACGTTCTTTAACTATACAGGCTTGAATTCACTTAGATAATTATATATTTATCTAGATAATTATATACAATTATAAATAAATTATCTAAATAATTAGATAAATGTTTAGAACATCTTTTATTTACTATTTTGTCATTTCAATAAGTTGATTTGCCAATTGGTAAATACATTGCAAATATGTAAGCATATTTTTGTTTTGTTTTGTTTTTCTTTACAGATTTCCCTCTGCCATATTCATTTAACATTTACTATTCTTTAGGTGTCCTATTCTCCAGCATCTTTAGCTAATTTCAGGTAGGTGTCCAATGACAACACTTTAATTTATAAAACATCTTTTCAAGTTTAACTTAACCATGGCATTTCTAATCCAAAAGAACATTTTAAATAGAAAGGAAATTATTTTTGATTATTGTGTTAAAAAACAAGCCTGGATGGTTCTTTACATGATATGTGTGCACATTTTTGTAATTATTTCTTTCAGGTCAAATCAATTTTTTTTTTTTTTTTTTTTTTTGCGGTACGTGGGCCTCTCACTGTTGTGGCCTCTCCCATTGCGGAGCACAGGCTCCGGACGAGCAGGCTCAACGGCCATGGCTCACGGGCCCAGCCGCTCCGCGCCATGTGGGATCTTCCCGGACCGGGGCACGAACCCGTGTTCCCTGCATCGGCAGGCGGACTCTCAACCACTGTGCCACCAGGGAAGCCCAGGTCAAATCAATTTTTAAGTGTATTCCCATGATACTATTTCAGTTTGCCCAATGTCCAATAAATGCTGCCCTTATCAGAAATTAAAAAACAATAATACCAAGGAAACAGGTAAGTATCTTAAAAAGTAAAGATGATTTTTGGTGAGTAATTAAAATTAAAACCATGTTGTAGGTTGGAGAGATGGAATGCATTTTATGAATACTGAAGGTTATCTTTTCATTTGACTCATAAATCAGACCTAGAACTTGTGCTTTTTAATATCAAATTGAGAAAAAAAAAACTGATTCCAAAAAGAAAGTAATTTACCAGTAAACAAGTAAATTATCATAATCATAGGTGATTTTAAAAAAGAAAACAAAATATAAAATGACAGTGGCCTAAAATAGATAAATATTCTAAGTCTCCAAACATGTTACATTATAAAATTCATAGGACTTGGATATGAGTGTTCCTACTTAAAGCTAGTAAAGGATGCCTTGTGGGGAGTGGGAAAAATAAGTAAAGGGGGTCAACCATACGATGATGGATGATAACTAGATTTGTGGTGGTGATCACTCTGTAGTGTAAACAGATTTTGAACTATAATGCTGTACACCTGAAACCAGGTGTAATATAATATAGTATAATGTAATTTAAAAAAAGAAGGATGCCTTTGAGTAACACAGCTTGGGGAGACTCTTGCAGCTTGCCAGTTTGTGCTATTATCCAAATTGCTTTCATAAAAGCAAGACTTATTATAAGATAAATTAAGATAAGGCAAGATAAATTCTAAGATAACAACTGTCCTTATTCTGTTTTACGCCTTCTTAACCACCCAGACAAAACTGTAAATTGAGGGGTGTGAAAAATGTTGCCATGATGAAACGACATAGTGAGTGAGGGCAATGATGGAGATAGGAACAGCATCAAGGATGACATTTTCCCCCCTAGGTTGAGCCAACAGACTCATTCCTGTTCTCCACTGATATCCTCCTCTCACATCTGTCCCCACTGCTCAGTCAGCTGAATTATGGGCCTCCCCAAGTGTACAAGGCAGCCCATGCTGGTGGGAGAGTCCTATTACTGTCCATCTCAACACAAAGCTCTTAAAGACTCTGAATTTTAGATATGAAATAGATTAGGGATCATCTACTTCACACATATTTAAAGTGAATCATAAATCCCGAACACTGTGGTGATATGATTCAGGTTCACTAGGTTGAATATCTGACATTTCGATTTTATAAAGTGGAAATTTGGGAGTAGGCATGTTTAGATGTACTTCTCAAGTTTTCCCAAGGTCCTGTACAATTACTGGTTAAAACACCCACACACATACATACACACACTTTTCTCTGCACTCAAGACTAGAATGCAAATAAGTGAGACTAAAGTTACATTACAGAGCTACTTAAATCTACTCCAGTTTTTTAACTTTTTCAGAAAGAAGACATTTAACTTTGGTTATTTAGGTATTATTAATACCTAAATACTTAGGTCATACTGCCTGAGAGCGACTGGACTTGGACATTGCCAGGAAACTTCTGCTCACCTTCTTTTAATTTTTTTCAGCTCTATAAGCACATTGCCATTCATCTCTCAATGAACACTTACTGCTTAAGAGCACCCTCCTGTTAGTAGTTCAACTAAAGTTTCTGTCCTCAAGCCAACATGTAGTTGTACTCTCAAATTCTGCCACGAATTGGGCTGTGCGTATCCTGCTTTTCCAAGGTTACCACCCCTTTATTCTGAGCACTCTGTTCTCTCCTTATTCAGAAGTCTGACAAGCTTCCAGGATGTCAGAAGAGAAATACAATGGTTCTCTCAGACACAGATGGTCCCTCTTTCTTTCTTATTCTTCTTTCAAGGAGTTAAAAAAAATGTTTTTGTTGATGAACACAGAAAATAAACTCAAATTATATAACAAAAATTTGATATATCAACAAATACATGCAGATATTTAAATGATGATAAAGTTGTAACAGAGGGACAAAGAAAAAAAAAATGTACTAACATCTCTATCCAGAACTCTGCCCGTGCTGTTCAGGAAAAGCATTTGTTTAACAGGATCCAACAATACCCAGTAATCCACGTTGTCCTTTAAAGAGAGTTCTATGGTTGGCTCTGGTCCTCCAGCAGTCCCTTTGATCAGCATGTTATCCACCAGAATAGTACCTGCAAACCAAAGAGAGTTACTTGAAAATATATTCTACCTGTATGCATTCTTTAACAAAGATCATATGCTTAAACCCCAGCTGACTTGCAAATTTGTTTCAAAACAGAAGATATTCAACTTTATATCTATCATGATATAGAAAATGTCCTGCTTCAAAAAGGCAAAAATACCTTTATAATGCTATTTATAAATGATACTTTTGGGAGATGAGGTGGGAGAGAGATTCAAACACTTGGTGAGTCTCATCATCTATTTCTTGCATCCTTTTAACAGCATGAATCTGTTCCCCACCCTGTCCATCACTTCTCACAGGAGTTATCACTGAATTTTATCCTGAACAAAAGGAAAGCCTATAATAACAGAGGCTGATACTTCAATTCACTCAGTAAGACTTCTGATATGAAAAGAGATATCCTGAAAATAAGAGAAAGGAAGAAAAAGGAAGAGATAAAGTAGCAGCAGAGACTCCCATGGTGAGAACTGCTTCTTTATCTTTTACCTTAGAGCAAATCCATAAACCATAAATCTTAATGTGAAAGACAAAACTAGTGTTCAGATACACAATAGAAGCCATTCTTCTCTAAGACACGCCTGGGGTACTCAACTAGAACAACATACTATTTTAATGTAACATTTCAATGTTTGCTTTCTTATTATTCTTTCAGTGGGCTGAATTGTAGACATTTGTTGAGTAAGAGCTGAAGCGAGAGATCTCTAATCTCTCCACCTCTGTTAAAGATTCCATCTATTTTAAAAATTGAATGCAAACAGCACTGATACAATTCAAATCCCCTCTTTTTTCCCATGCTGCAATGATCCCTCTAACAAACAATAATGTACTATAGCTTACAGCAATCATTTTCAGCTGATCCATTTTATTAAACTTATGGCATAAAGAAGAGATGTGGCCATGCAAATAAAATGTACTCTCCTAAGGACATTAGAATAAATGGCACATATCTAGAAAATTCATTGCCTTAGGATAGCATACAAGAATATATAGATAATCTATAAATATGAATCTAGCTCGAAGAATAATAATGCAATATGTATTGCTGCATTTTCATAAGGCACAAAATTGGCTTCAATGTTATAGCATTGCATAATAACAAATAAAAGGGGGGTCTCTGGAAGATTTTCTCAGCAAGTTAATAATAATAATAATAGTAATATTAATAATTTATAATATTTCTTTATCATGTTATTACTAATGAGCTTTATCTCACTAGGGAATGTTGAAATGAACCATTCTTTTATAACAATATATCTAAATAATGTTTAAGTACACACTCACACACATACTATTCTAAATGGCAGATTATTTACTTCTACTTTTTCACATACTAGTACACGTATATGTAAATATATGAGTGAAAATGATCTTGCTATTTTTTTACTCAACTAGTAAATATATAATCTACAGATATTACATCCAAAAGTACAGATCAGACAATGATAGCATTTTCTGGTCTACAAATATGTTCTAGGCCTGAGTATACACTCTTTTACAAATACTTCACACAACTAACCTTTGAAAAATTATTTGGCCTGTGTTTTCAATATGTAATTAAGAAATTAAAGGGGATTATATTTTCTGATTAAGAAAAAAATAAAGTATAATAAGTAGGTCAACTAACATTAACATTTATGCCTTGACTCATAATGCGTAACAGCAGTAATAGCAGGTCTTTCTCTAGTGTACATACACTTTATGCAGGTTCATGAAGGGAAGGCATAATAAACAATGGTTGAAATCAGGAAAAAGGAATTCACTTAGTTTGACACTCAGGTCATAGAAGTGAAGAGAGCTGGCCCTGGAACTGACAGAGATAGAATCTAATCCTGGATCCACCATTTAAGAGCCATGTGAAAGTGGACAGATTATGTAACTACTCACCTTCAATTTCTCTCTTCTACAAAATCAAAAATCAATACCACAAAGGAAGAGGTATTTTTGATTATAGCACCATATGTATGTACTTGAAAAAAAAACTTGTATTCTTGTATCGAAAGCACTAACGAAAGCTGAAACAGTCACAGTCAAAATACTAGCACAGTTAAGTATTTAATGATATTTTCTTCAAGCATCAGAGTCAATATTTACAGCCTTAAATATTGGGGTTTGTGCTTCTTCCTTCAAGAAGTAGGTATTGAGGGTCATTTGCTTCTAAATGCAGATTTTTTTCAATGAAATTGAAAATTCGATACAGCATTTAGCTTTCTTCATTAATCTATTGTTTTAAACTCAGAAAAAAATTTCACACCTCCTTCATCTGTACCCACAGCTTCTCCATATTAACATATTATCAATCATAACCACTAATGTAAACTCTACTTGCATTAAATAAAGGTGCTGCAGATCTTCAGCTTTTTTCTTAAGATCTGCTTACATAGCTATTTATTTTTAACTATGATAAAAATGTGCCCAGAATATGTTAAAACATAAATATACTGTAAAATAACATATGAATCAATAAAATCGCTTCCTTATACCAATTCCATTCCCCTATTTACCAATGTGTATAAGATAATTTGCATCAAAGAAGAGCTGTTGGGTTGATCTGATGACTAAATGAGATAATGCATATGAAGTACTGATTGCAGTCCCTGGTATAGAATAAGCAACTGACAAATGTGAATTATGTATATTGTTGTTAATGTTATTAATTATATATATTTATATTATATATTAATTATATTAACTCCATTTTGGAAGCAAAAGCATTTGAAATGAAAGCAAAGTGACTTATTTTATGTCCCCAAAGTTTTTACAAACCAAGTCTACTCTTCATGTCATAAAGCTAAGGCATGTGTGGCAAGCCATCTGAAGAATTCATAGGGGCCCAAAAGATTTGAATGCAAAGTAATCACTCTGGGAAGTTAGAAGGTAGGGAGAGAATGCTCACACTAGGTAAACTTGTAAAGATAATTCTTTGTCTCTGGTGATGGCAATCCATCCAAGGATTGATAGGCAATCCTGCTATCACCAAGTCTACTCTTCATGTCATAAAGCTAAGGCATGTGTGGCAAGCCATCTGAAGAATTCATAGGGGCCCAAAAGATTTGAATGCAAAGTAATCACTCTGGGAAGTTAGAAGGTAGGGAGAGAATGCTCACACTAGGTAAACTTGTAAAGATAATTCTTTGTCTCTGGTGATGGCAATCCATCCAAGGATTGATAGGCAATCCCTGCTATCACTAGGGAGTGACCCACTCTTTCCACTTTCTAACTTCACACAATTTTGATTTTGCTCATAGAAACTAAAATTAGATTTGATGGCAAGGATCTTATTCAACAAATTCATAGTAGTAGTGATCTTTAGCTTGAACACTTTTTACTCATCCCCAGCACACATTTGGTTCCATTAGGGACTACACACACACACACACACACACACACACACACACGTTTATTATAGGAACTAAATCATAACTGGATATTTAATATTTTCCTGAAAATTGTATTTGCTTCTTTAAATAGGCAGTTATAACACAAGTGGGTTACTTTCTAAAAATGCTATGGAGGTGGCAGTGAGGAGAGGGGTCCATTGCCTTTCTAATTAACCTAATTCAATGACTGAAAGAGTAAGTTCTACAGCGAAAGAGAACCTGACTGAGTTCATTCCAAACATTAAAATAAGAAAATCACTCTGTGCACAGAACACACTACTTGCTAGAAAACAATTAATTATGCAAAGGTGTATAACCAATATGAATTGCATAAAATCTCTCCCAACAATTTTTCCCCAGTTTAAGTCAACTAGAAGAATGTTCAGCTACATCATATAGGCAGAAGCATCCGTTGCATTTTCTTGTATATTACTCCTTGCAAATGAAACCATAAACAAAGCTCCCAAATGTACATTATTTGATTAAAACAAAGTTTTTTAAAAAGTGAAATTATAGTTAATATATAGTTTTTCAGTGAGGTTAAACAGTAAGCATGGCCATTATGTAGTTGTTTATTGAGTAAAATCTAGATTCCAAGATTATCAGACTAAGTAAAACTCTTCTTATGCTCAAATCCTCATCTTTGTTGAAGCTTTCCTGGACTTTTCTTGATTTTTCACACTTCTTGGTTTACAATTATATAAACTACACATTTTAGCTAAGCCTATGTTCATATCATATCTAGATAACTACTTGGTAAAAGGGAAGGAAATATATGTGTATCCAGCAACTTCATAAAGAAAATAGCAATATTAATTGGGCTGTGTTTGAATGCTGGGGATACATTAGCCACATACAATATTTGCTAAAGATGGAAAATGATACCAATCAAGTCAATAGTGATGAAACTAAAACTTACAAAAACTAAAAGCATACTTCTTTGCAAAACTATGTTAGTCTTTAAAATTTATATTTTATTTACTTCAAAAGAACAAACCATTACAAAATGGGCAGCTTTGTTCGAGTGTACATCACTCATATTACTTAAGTAACAATACCTTTTATTTACTTATATTTTACTTCATGATGCATAACAGGTGATATATCAAGTATGGCATAGGCATACAAGTATAAAACTTTAAGAATAAAGGGATTTTTTTTCCCTTCTAGTCTTAACTTTTTCCTTAGAAATTGATATAAATATCTTGACATTTAGACCATTGCTAGTATCTCTATTCTGTTGTAAATAAAATATTAAGTAAATGTATGTATGTTATGAATTTTGATGTAGAAGGCATATTCATTTGCTCAAATAAAAATAAGATCACAGAATTTTAGAATTAGAAAAGAACCTACCAACTCATATATATATATCATATATATATGGAAAATGAAGCCAAACCTCTGGTATCTCCAAATTTCCCTATCCCGAGCATTGAAATAACCTGACCAAGGTGGCATAGCTAATAAAACCATATCCAAGACCAAATCCCAGGTTTACTAATTCACAGTTTAGATATCCTTTCCCTATATCTTGCGTTCACCTTGGAAATACACAAACTTTTTAATTTAAATATGAAATTACGGGGACTTCCCTGGTCCAGTGGTA